GCTAATAAAGTCCTGTCGGTCCAGTTAGTCTGGTTATTGACTGTCCTGAGTCCAGGTAATGAAAGGACATTGCTGACATGTCACATGTCACCCCATTGTCTTTGTTGTGACAGACAGACCCTAAACTTGAGATTAAAAGAGACTTCTTCTGCTCTTGTTTGTTCTTTAATGACCTTGCAAGAAATCAGTTTGCTCTCCAAAATCCAATACAGATTGTCATGTCTTCCTCATTTATCAGGCCTAAGCCCAAGGACGCTAATGCTGAGTGAGTCTCTTGCAGTTTGTAATGTTTGTAGACACCTCTGTAGCAGCACAGCATGCTACCTTTCTTCTGGGGGTGTCCTGGGAATCATTCCACTGTAAAGCTGGTGGTTGGGCATTACAGACATAAAATGAAATGTCTATGAGCTTTCAGTCTGTCTAATGATACATTTTGATAGCTTTGTCTTCCTTGAGATGTCCTTTTTATTATTTTTGTGATACAGTTAAGACCAAACACATGTCACAGTCAGTAGCCCGTGGCCTCGGCAGCTCTAATGAGACATAAATGAATTTAGTGTTGCCACATACATCTCCTGAACGGTTATTATCAGGATTATTGTTGAACTGTTGTGAATGGGGGAGATCTTTTTTTTTTAAAAAAAAGCTGCATTGGACTAGAAGGGGACATGATTGGCTGATGTTACATATGTCCTTGATTACCTTCCTTCTGCTTTTATTTTAATAAGTGGCATTCTTTGTACTCCCTGGGACAGCTAGACAGTCTGACACACGATGAGAATAAATATTGCATGTGGTAGACATTAAGCTGTCATCCTGGAAAAAAAAGAAGAGATGGAGAAATCCGTGTGCTGTTCTTCTGCACTACACTTTGCCTGCTCTTGTCACAATTGTCACATCTTGATGACTCCCCCACCCCCACCCCACCCCAGCCCCCTTATTTTGTCTCTCTCAGTCAACTGCCCTGAATGACAGCATGGATACCCCATATAGAGAATTATTTTGGGTGCTGTAAAATGTACTCCTTTGGTTACCGTTTGTATTTTTTATTTCTGTCCCACCCCCCCAAAAATAAACAAGGCCATAGCTTTGAAAATGTGTTCTGAACAACCATGATAAAGGCAAAACCAGGAATGATGGCTAGTTAGGGTTTTATCTATCATGTGCGAACATTTAAAGTCACAAGATTTGTCGTAAAAATTTTAATGGGCGTAGTTATCAAAGAAGATAAAGTTGCTCAGAAAAGCTTGTTACCAGCACGCCCTCAAGGTTTGTTTCAGTTATGCTGTGAGATGATGCTCTTAATTAAAGCTGCTTCCATTGTGCCCCACCATCTCATGATTACGCTGAACGCTGAAAAACGTTGACAATATTGACGACAGTGTGCGTTTGTATCAGATCGTCCTTCATCTCAGAGACTGAAGTGTATTGCCTTTCCATCCAGCCATGGCCACAGGGAGCAGACAGCTTCTGCACTCTTGTCGCTCAGGAGCTCACCACTGGGAGGATGAAAAGCTTCCTACAGGGCCCCCGACTTCCCAGCCTCAAAAGCTGCCATGAGCTCATTTCTATCTCCCTTCACAGAGGAAGGAAAGAGGAGGGGGTTAGTGTTCGCCATGTGCTGCAACCTGGTGGGACCAGCAAAACAGAGGTGACCCTGGGTTTATTACTCGATGAGTCTGAGCCCGGCATGTGAACCAGTAGCTGCTGAGATATGTGAAAAGGCTCAGTAACACACCTAGGTTCAGGTGCTGGGCTCTCCACCTGTGGGTGTGTCAGAGGATGTAGGTACTGGATTACTCATTGGGTCTGTCAGCATTCAACTGCATGTGAAAGGAGCACTAAAACTGGAGGTGATGCCCCCCTTTTACAGGCTTAACTGGCTAAGCACTCATAATAAAGCTAACCTGTATGAATATATGTCAGACATACGCCCAGGTCATTGTCTCAGGTAGTAGGTACTTTAGAAACCTCCGTTGTTCACCCTCCTGAGCCATTTAAGCAGATCAAAGCTCTGACAAAGCCCAGGGAAGCCCCAGACATGCGGAAACACAGGAATTATGTCCCCTTTAGGACTCCTACACAAAAAGACAAATAGACTAGCCCCCAAGGGTGGCCCCCTGTGGGACATCTCCATTCAGAGCCAGTGTGTTGTGGAAGCTTCAATTGTTTTGTTTCTTATTTTGTCATTTCACAATATATTGTGTTTTAGATGTGTTGTAAATACAACAGGCATTGAATATAAAGATTAGAATGAATTTATGTTTTCCCTGATGCAAGATAAACAGATATACTGAGTTTTGCACTGTTGTTTTCATACTTTATTCCTTAACATAAGCTAAAATAAATAATGCATGTTTTAGATTTGTAAAAGTTTGATGAAAGCACATATAAGAAAACTATTTTTCTTTCCTTGAATTGAGAGCAGCAGGAAAAGCACAAACATGGCTTGTTCCTTTGCCTTGTTTGAGCCCTCAAGCTGGTGAATGATTAGCAGAAATAATGTCCCTGTCACCCTTAATCACATTAAAATGTGGTTAACATTTAATTTTTCCCACTTGATATGCAAAAATTTCCACTTGATTTGCAGCAAAGGCCATTGGAATTCCATTATAAAAAGAATAAAAATTTCAGGCATCATTTGTTCAAAGAGGGATATCAAGATCAGAAAGTGCTGAATCTTTCTATTAACTGAGCACTGAGAGATGGCACTCAGTGCTGGGACATAATGGGAGACTAACAAGACATGGACACGCACGCACATGCGTGCTTGCACATATACACATTTGTACTGGATTTCTCTTCGTTTAGACATGCAAAACCTTTTTAAAGAGGATCTATTAGAACAAATATTTTATTTGTGGATGGTAAGCAAATGGGAAACAAAGCAACTAGACCCCTGCTTTAAAACATGAGTCAAGCCTGTTTCTTGTATCATAGAATGAGAGGAAATCCTGACAATGATATAGAGCAGACTTAACTGTAAACAGGCCTTAATGCATATAAAACAACTCTTTAATTTTTTTTCTGAGATACAGATGTGCATTCATAAATTAGAGTTTCATAAACAAATGAGAGACAAGAACAGGATAAATGTTTTACATAAACATTTTCCCCAATTTACCATTCATATAAAATTTCCTAAGAACAAATGGGAAGGACATAAATACAAATTGCAACGTGGCAGCAGTGAAGTTGACAGAATTGGTTTTGGGAGTCCTGTTGATGGCCCATCAAAGCTTTTAATTGACAGTGCTTTGTTTCCGGAGTTGAGGGAAGGGGGTGTTTCATGATCCTGTGGCAAGGTGTTTGTCTGGTCCTGTGTCACTCAGTGCAAGGACCCAGAGACTCCCGTGCTCATTTGCAGCTCACATTCTCCGTCTCAGCTTCACATTATTAAAATCATCCCTCAGCTTTCTACCAAGAGCCTCTTTGTTACTTGGCTGGCTTGGCTCAGCTCTGTCAAGTCTTCACCAATTACAGTCTCAGGTACAATGGTCTATTCAAAGGATCACAGCCCTTGACTGGTGTGGAGAGAGTGATTTGCGAATCATTATTCAGCCGCCTGTAGAGAACGCAATACCTGAGGAATGCAAATAACGTGCCACCAAATAGACAGCTGTGCTGCTAAAAGTGACATCTCTTTTTTTTTCAGGTTTTTGGCTTTGACAAAATGTTTTTTTTTATGTTTCTGTCCTTTGTTGGTGAGATATTTGGCAGCCACCTTGTTGCAGTGGCAGTCAAACATCAACTCGGCAAACACAGTGTGAACAGAAAGGAAAATATTAGGTTACGGCTCTTAATAGATGTGCATCTGAACAGGCAGACAAAAATGAATTATGAGGCATTGCAAATTTACCCTGTAGTGTTATTGTAGTTTGTTGGGGAAAAACATCCCATCAAAGCAAAACTGTGCACTCTCTGTGCCCGTTACCCTGTCATATATTGTATATTGATCATCATTAAGTAGGAGCAGTGCTATGGTGCTAAAGTGGTGACATTGTTATTGGAATAGATGTGGTATTCAGGTGGTCAGGTTCCTCCCAGTCTTTGATTCTTATGGGCTTTAAACAGGAAACTAGGATTACAGATAATGACAGGGACCCCTTAGAATCAATCCAGCCTAGGAGCTCTGTCAGGCTCGCCGTGTGAAAATGGATTTGTGTGGTGCTGTTCTTTGTGACCTGTCCAATCCCAGCCTGAGAGCTTGTAGGGCTAATCTCATAATTGCCCTAACCCCCTTGCATTGTTCTGACTGAGAGTTACCATTAAGTGTGAGGATACCTTTGTCCTGCAATGTCAGGTGTCCTGCTGGAGTACAAGACAAAAAGAAAGAAAACTCAGGCAGTGAAGAGAAAGATAAATTTTAGACATTATAAAGTAAGGAATCACTTAGTGGTTAGGTGTTGTACCCCATCCTGGCTTTACATTAAATGTTCCATTAGACACTCAGCAGGTGAGCGACACTGTTTTTTATAGTACATTTTTATGTGTTAAGAGGTGTGGTGGGAGGTAACTGAGTACATTTACTCAAGTACAGTATTTACAGTAAGTACAGTTCTGAGGTACAGGTATTTTACTTGAGTGTTTTCATTTTATGTTACTTTATACTTGTACTCCACAACTATTATTTGACTGTTTTTATTGACAGGTATCCTGTTATTCTGACAGGTGGTCTGTAATCAAGTCTTTAAAGTCTTACTTATTATCTGCTGATGCAGTAAGAATATCCTGTCTTGTTTTTAATGCAAGTGAACCTGTAGTGTTGCATGTTTCTTTTATAGCTCCATCCGAGTCATCCTCTTTCACTTAAGCACGCATCAGATCAAATGTTTAGCCTGAAAGTTTTATGACATAAATGCTACTTTCTGAGTGCAGTTTCCTGCAAACACACATAAGTTCAGCCGCTCTCATGAGTATGCATGCACCGACAGACAACAAATGCTTCACTTTAATCAAGTCCTCCAACTTGTGTGGTGGCTGCTGTTTGTTTTTGCCAGGTTAGCAAAAATCAAAGAGTGGGTGGACAGTCACGACCCCGGAGCCTTGGTTATCCCCTTCAGCGGCGGCCTGGAGAACCAGCTTCAGGACAAGAGTGAAGAAGAGAGGCAGAAGTACTGCACAGAGCACAAGACACAGAGGTTAATTAGCATTCAGTCTCCCCACACTTTATTATCAGCTATGTCCTCCATGCACTCCTTTAATTGCATGTGCTGATAGAATAATAAATGGCAGAGTAATTACCATTATAAAGCAAAGGATCCCTCTTCTTACTGAACAACTCAGTCAAAGGGTTTTCCTCTAAATTAAGTTTTTAACTGTCATCTGTCATCTGTAGGTATAATTATAACTTGGGCATTTTGGCTTTATTGTTCTCATGTGAAAACCTCTAAGGAGAGAAAAATTGTGACAGCAGATTTTTTTCCCCGTCCGTGCAGAACGAGCATCGGGTTGAATTCTTAAAAATGCTAAATGAGTCCACAAGCTTTCTAATTAATCAAAGAAACCTTTGGAGAGTTGAATGGCTTATGTGAAATGAAGTGACCCATCTTATTCACTTAATGAGTTTATATTGGAATGAATGGGGCCTTGCCACTGAAGTGAACTTTGTCTAGGCGTCAGTGGCAATAAAGAATACCTAAACAGTTCAGATCTCTGGATTCAAGCTGCAAATTTTCTTCACCAGCGCCCTGAGCAAGATCATCAAAGCAGGCTACGCAGCCCTGCAGCTGGAGTACTTCTTCACGGCTGGACCAGATGAGGTCCGTGCTTGGACCATTCGGGTAAGAGCCAGCTGCCCGCTGAGCACATGCACGAGAGTGTGAGGGTGTGTACCGCATGTACATGCACACAGACACATAAACGAATGCACACCGTGTCCCTCGTTTCACCCTGCTGTCACCCTCACTGATATCACACACTTTCAACTTTGTCATGGTTGTGCTTTAGCTAGTCATTACAGGCCAAGGATAACTTCAATTACTGGTAAGCTGCTGAACAGTGAAAGTGGGGGCTACACTGATTGCGGAGGGCAACAATTGATTTTGCCCATTACGTCCATGAGAATGTTTCCATCCTGTGCAGATCTGCCTGCCCTCCTCCTGCCGTTGGAGATAAGGAGCCTGTGCATTGTGCCTGCCTAATCTGTGTGACGGAGGTTGTCTGTGCCAAAATTGATGTCGCTTTTCATTCGGCTGTTTGTGGGCCTTCCTGGGGGCTCCTCCTCCCTGTGTGTCTCAGTTTACTGAGCCTGGACCGCTGAGAGCTTTGTGCAACAGGATCACAGGATTTACATCAATACAGATGTTGGTTTTGCATGCTGTTATTGTGTCATTTTTTTTCTGAACAAACAGTAGTATTGAGTGCAAATATAATAAGGTATTTGATCAGCCAGGAGTTACATATGATAAATCCATGTAGGTGATTTAATACAGCCAACTGCTGTAAACATTTGGGTTCTGTGCTGTTGTACGCAATCATATCAGTTCCTATTGAAAGGACATTTCATTGACAGGACACAAAAGTTTTTCTCAAGAAGTTAAAAAGCTTAATTTGTTTGTTTTTTGTTCTTTTCTGCAAAAGTTAGGAATGTTTAAAAATGAGCATCAGGTTATAAAAATATCTGCAGATGTATGAATATTAGTGTTTAAAGTGAAAAATGAGAATGAGCATTATAAACAGAATTACAGCTGATATTTCAAACTAAATGATAAGATATTTCAATTGATACTAAAAAGCAAATAATAGAAACGGTTTCACATCATCCACAGTCCACAAAACATTTTTAAACTGACAAAATTAGTAAACTACAAATATATTTATCTCACAAAATTTAGCACATCTACAAATGTTTCATAGTGCTGTCACCATGCTCTTTACATGGCACCTCTCATTTTTAGCATAGCCGTGGTAAATTGGTACCAGCTGAAATAAATGGCATTGGAAGCAAATGAGTATCCAGGCAGTGGTCTTGTGTCCAGCCAAAAACTGTTTGCATTTCACCACCAAAACAAACAGAATGATAATTTCATTCCATTTCACTCCATTTCAAAAAGAACCCCACCACTGAGGGGAACATGGGGGGACAGCAGTCGGTGGAATATGAACTTTGAGTTTGAATAGTAACTACATATCAGTGGATTTCTCGCAAAAACAAAGCACTGCTCAAATACGTTTCCCTCATAAATCCCACTGAGATGTGGCAAACTGTTTTTACAGCCTAACCAGTTGCCTCAGAGGAGAATATCAGTGTGGTTTTGGAAGATCCAAATGTGCCCTTTAATAAACCTTAATTGTCTCAGGTTTAATGTCCCAATATGTCATGATAATACTGGAAGTCAATCTTGTATTTCAGTCTTGTTTTGTAACACATACTGACTCATTACCCCATACTGTGTATTCTTTTTGAAGATTATTTCTGGGTGTTTTACTTTTGTAAAATGGTTAACAAAGAAGTAGGCAAGGCAAGTTTATTTATATAGCACATTTTCACACATAAAGGCAATTCAAAGTGCTTATCACAATGCACACAAATAGTTAAAACATTACAATGCAAATTAAAAGCAACAATTACACAACAGTACAAAATATAGCAACATGCAAGTGTAGATACCTAGTACTTTAGAATAGCTGTGGCAGGCTGTCTGGATAAAACATCAAGCCAAGAAAGAGAAAGAAAGAAGCAAATATGAAGACAGGTCTTTGACCGCCTGCCAACAGAGCACCCCGTGCTGATACTGTAAGCAAAGATTCACGTTTTGATCAAAAATGCTAATTTTATATCAGTGTAGCAAACTTCAGTAACTGTTCTAATCCTTTTGTGTCCTTGTCCTTTGTCACTGGCTAGAAAGCAAAGTTATACTTCTGCTTGTAACAAGAATACCAGACTTCTAAACACGGCTCAGCCACATCCAAATGATTCACTTCAGTGTTTTTATCATATTAACATTAACTGTATAGATATGGATGAGATGAAACACATCCAAAGAAGTTTAAACACAGACGTAGGTGAACATTTCTATTATTGCCTCAGACTGTGTACAAGCCAGAGGGGAAGATGAGCGCACTGCCTTTTTTTTTAACAAAGGACATATTACATTTTAGTGACATCACCGGCTTTAAGCGTGACGGATGTCCTCGCTATTTACGAAAAAGTCCTGAAACACTTCAAAGGCATTCTCAAAAACAAGCTTGTCCTCCTTGACATGACTGATTACAGCCAGCCTTGATTGTGTGAGGGGCATTTAGTCAGGTAAGCATCAGTGAGTAACTATATTAAGCCAATACATCTTGCATTGTAAAAACTACGCTCAGTAATGTCATGCTCCTAAGTCCTTTAACATGCTTTATTAGGCAGCCTCGAGGTGACCATTATCTATCAGCCTGCTCTGCACAGCTCTTAACTAGGACAATGTGGATCTCTTGTAATGCGTCATATGAAAAAAAATCCCACCCCTAATCTATTTTTCTTCAGATAGACAAACCTTGATGCTGATTAATGGTAGTTAAACTCACAAGCACTTCGTCAATGAAATTGCAAAGAGATGGTAATGTATTAGAGTCATTAAATACGCATCATTCTTTTGGCATGAAATATGTTGACCCCAACCTGATTATATACATAATTAAAACTGCTCAACAGTTCCTGAGCACAGAGAGCTGCAGAGCAGAGAGAGAGGCAGCAGGTCGACAGGCAGGAGTCATAATGATACACGGCAGCCACGTCACTTATTCGGCCCATTTGTCATTTCCACCCAGCATTATTTTAGTGCACATAAATTGCACAATTTATCAATCACCACTTGTGTCTTTGAGTGTTAAAAAGAATTCATGGAAGTATTTTTGAAACTATTACATTGTTACAGTATATTTTGCTTTGTAAATCTGAAATAACTTTAGGGACATATGTAAATGTATGTTTTGAGGACAAAACCATTAAAGCCTAAGCCAATTTAAAGATAAAGGTTTCACACACTCTGGCACTTCACCATTATTAAGTACTTGGATCTGAATTACTAAGTTCTGGAGTGCCACAATAGTTAAGGCCTGATGCAGTGAAGTTTATACCACCTTGGCTTCTCACTGCAACACCAGGTCTTCTTGCTGTCATGACCAGATAGCTGAGCAGCGACCCACAATGAGGCAAGATTGCTTGGACAGAAATCAATACCACCACGGAATGGGAATCAGAAGGCATTGATAGCAGTGCCGGGTCCTTATCGGTGTCCAGGCTGCCCGAGCAGGGGCACAGCCGAGTGGAAAGCTATCCAGAAATCAGGACTGATGCAAGAATACCCCCAACTGAAAACACCCCAGAGTGATGCTCACAACGCTATCACCCTATCAAACATCATGTCGCTTGCACGCAGTAATCCATCTTCTCCAAAACAATTCATTTGTCTTCTCTTTTCCTTCCTTGTGACAGAAAGGAACTAAGGCTCCACAGGCTGCAGGGAAGATCCACACAGACTTTGAGAAGGGCTTCATTATGGCCGAAGTAATGAAATTCCAGGATTTTAAAGAGGAAGGCAGTGAGAGCGCTGTCAAGGTGAGCAGTCATGGTGCCAGAGGAGATGAGGGGAAGTCTCCTGTGATCAGTGGATCTGACAGTCCCCACACAGCTCCTACTGCAAACTGCTCTTCACCTTTACTCAGGGGAAGAAATTACTGCACACACTCCAGCACCACTCCTGACAAGCCAGCTGATTCTGGCTCTAAACACTGCCATTCTGCTCCAGCTGTGCATATCTTTACCACAATGTGTCTTAACTGGCTGATGGTAGTTCTTGTTCATGGTTCAGCACTGTCGCTCAGAGGTAGCACTTCTTCACCACACCAGGCGTTTATCAGCTCTATAGAGTGCATCGTTAGCTTAGAGCTCTCTGTTGCCAAATCCCCAAGACACTGCAGGCATGTGACAGTGATATAAAGCAGCACGTTAAATAAAGTGTGAAATTCCTCAAATAAGGACTGTTTCATGGACGGGTTGCGCAGAAATGTGACTTGCATATCTTATTTTTTGATGGCCAGTGTTTGTTTTGACCTTTTAACTGGGCTGTGGGTTGTTCATGTGCGCACTCCTGTCAAATGTAATAACTGATTTCATGGTGAATTTGTGCAGACAATAACTGGGCGTCAGCTACAGCAGGTACTTTGCAAAATGCTTTGAAATTCTTTTCGTTCCTACTGCAAGTGTTGTTTTAGGTTTGCCATCAAATTAGTGTCATATCAACAAACTAATTTGGTAATTGAAGGTACAGTTAGTCAGTTAATCAACACTCTAGGATATCTATCACATCAAGATGCTCTTTTTTATTATTTAATTTCTGTATAAGCCATACTCTAAATTGAACTCTCGGTTAACTGAATTAAAGCAGAAGTGACTCTGCCCATGCTATGTGTGAGCAGCAGCTGTAAGCCACGCTGTTACAGTCCCACTATCACCACCATCAGCACAATATGCCGACTTACAGATTCAACTAATGTAATTATGGGGACACACAGGGACCTGCAGGGACCAGTGTTACCAGGAAGTGCTATGAAAGCATTTAAATCTCTTTACTATTCAGCCCTTTTTTAAAATAAGTATTTAATATTTAATGCAGCAACAGTGTATTGTCCACATCCTTCATAAGCTGCAAACAGAGTGTGAAATGTGTCGGTCTCTGGGGGGGTTTCACCATTGTTATCTGAGGTTGAGATCTGAGTGTCAGGTCCTTACTGCATGCTCTCTTACTAATCCCTTTTTGAGCCTCATAACAACATGGAGCGTTTCTGACTGTGGTATCAAGGCCTATGCTATTTAATGCCAGTTGTGGGAATAGGCGTCTGAATAGGGCCAGTGTACTGGGATATCACATTATTAGTAATCATATCTGCTTAAGCCAAGCTTGCTGCTCCAGATGGCTGCTTTCAAGTGCAAATGAACCAGTTAGTCGTGTCTGGTTTAATACATACTCAGGAATCACAACTAGCCATTGATCCCCCCCCTTCCCCCACCACCATCACCACCACCTCTCCCCGTCTCCCTCTCTATCCAGTGTTTCTGGTTGTATTGAGCTTGGATTAAATGGTCTCCTGAGCCTTTAAAGGGACATTGATTCTTCTAATTAATTGTCTGCTGTGCAGAACCAGAATGCATAAACCTGTCCGTATTAGCACTTCAAGTCAATTATTTTGAGTTTGCCGGGAAGGAGAACAAACACTTACTGTATACAAAAGAAATGTTAGAACTTATTTTATTTACTTGAGGAGTTTGATAGTGCTGTAATCAAAGACTTATTAACATTTTGTGCTTGTGCACATGAAACTGAAATGGGCAGATTATTCTCTCAGTGGGAATTCAGGCACCCCTTGAACAAAACATGGAAGCCTTAGTGTGTGTGTGTGTGTGGGTGGGTGTAGGTGTGTGTGTGTGAGAGAGAAATAAGAATGACATTGCATTTGGAGTAAAATTATAGAAGGTGATGAACTAGATGGATAGTAAACCTACAGTATTATTTTCTCTTTTTACTTACAATATAGTGTACATTGTTATTATTGGCTCTATTGTGACCATTAAGCTAATTAATGAACGTCTAACATATGTAACAGTCTATTATTTGTGCATCATACATTATTTTGTTTGTTATTTATTGTTAGCTGTTTTTTTCATTCAGATTTTTTATATTATTTTACAGGCAGCTGGGAAATACAGACAACAGGGAAGAAACTACGTTGTTGAGGATGGCGACATCATCTTTTTCAAATTTAATGCACCAAATGCACCAAAGAAAAAGTGACACAGAGTAGTCTATTTGTGTACATAACTGACTGTATTGTTACCTCTTTTGGCTAATAAACACTGCCACGTTCTCACTTTTTTGTTTCTCCTGTAGGATCAACCTCCCCCCTCCTCACGTGCTAAAAACACAGGTTCAGTAAACTCTGACAGCTTTGCTATTTAAGATCAGGATCGGCCCCCACTCCAAATTGTAGCAGCATTTGAAGGAGCATATTACTCTCCAGATACTTCATTAATCTCCATCATGGGTGCCAGCACTGACACAGCTGACAGCGGGGACAATGCCACCTGCTCCTCTCCCCCTTCTGCAGATAATGCATGTTTTACAGTAGCCCAGATGTCTACACTCAATAAAACATTTGACAAAACCAGTCTGTGTGTGTTTTGGGATGTCTGTATTGAGTGGGAAGCTGCATGGGGATGGTGATAGCGGTCCTGCCGACCACTGATTAGAGAATTAAAAGACACAGCTGACATTGACTGTAGCAGAGAGGGGACAATTATAATTAAATCTGTTAAGTGATGCTGATTTTAGAAGGGCACATGCAGGATGCAGGTGTTTTGGCCAAAAGATTTGGTTAGTTTAAATGAATATTTGCAAAGTGATTGAGTCAACCTTTAATTTACAATTTTTGTTTTATGATTGATGAATATGTGCATCCTCTGCTTTTCTGCTACTACAGTACTGAGCTACAATCCTCAAATACCATCTTTGTTATGTTTAGTTTCCTTACTCCCATCCCTGAACAATGAGGGCACATACACGCCTAGAAAAAGAAGAATAAGAAATATGAAATCAAACCATAGTTTCGCAAAAACATCCACATTTTATGATATTCTGATAGAGGCTGACACAATTCACAAGCACAACCAGAAAACGATTCCTGTTGTCTGAAGCAGTGTTTTTCTCACCCCTATACTTTCTGTGCAAGTGTTTGTGAAGCATTTATGCTGATGGAATTGTATAGCTGCGGCCGCAATGCTCCACAGTAAGATTGTATTCACTGTGGGAGTCCCAAACAAGAGCTGTGGATCAGCAGTGCTTTGCTGAATATCTTGTAACCATTAAGTGTGCGGAGAACAAAATGGCCTTTTGATAGGAACAAAAAGATTGAATAAAAATGGTCATTTTACAAAGATGGTATTGCATATCCGAGTTTTGGATAGGATGTTTTATGGAGCCGAGCTTGTGCTATAGCACTACAAAGCACAGCGTTTGTCATGGAAATAAGGTGGATTATAGTCTTTAAGGCTGGAGATCAGTGAAAAAATATAGGATACTGTTTATGGTGGTTAGCTGGAACAAAAGAAGGGCAGCAGTGTGCATCAGATAACATTAGTCTTACTTTGCTTGTTAACTTTAGCATTAAACACTGATTTTAATCACTTAACCCTATAAAACCATTTGTATCATATTTCATACGTGAAGTTTCTGAGCAAAAAAAAATCACCAAAAATGCCCCATGTATCAAATGTGATACAAAAGAAATAGAAATAATCTAAATAATATGGCACCTCTATTCCTATATGCCTGGACTGTCTGTCTATGCATATATGGCAAATAAAAATCGTGAATCTTGAATTACGAATCATGAATTATATTTTGGGTTTTATTAGAAGGTTTAATAAACATCTCAGTTCCAAAAAATTAGAATGTTCTGGCTATTTTTTGATATGTTGGGCTTTACAGGGTTAAAGATATTTCATGTAGCAGACCAAGGAAGTCATTGCTACCATTTACACCCATATACTGTCCTCCATGCAACAAGACACTGTTTTCAGCTGACTGTTGTCTAAGTGAAACCATGCAAATCCTCTGGAGAGCACTATGAGGGCTTCACTTTGAGCTGTTTTTGAATTCTTCTAGGGGTGGAAGTGGTGTTGGCCAACCAAAACCCCACATAGAAGATTATTTATCTGCTGTAGTTTTGAGGCTCATGGATTGATGAGCTGTTCCCAGTGGTCTGGGTAATGCGGTATTTTGTTTTTCATAAAGTAACAATAAATCTTTTCAGGGCCAGTAATAAGGCAGTCACACAGATGTTGTATAGGAACAACACACCATAACAAATTCTTTTATTCTGTGAGTGCACTGCGGCTGTTTCAGGGTTTGATACCAATAATTCTGCTGTAACAAGAGAGGTAAGAATGAATGGATTAAAAACTCAGTGGGAATCTTTTCTGTCCTGACATCATGGAACACATTTCAAAGTATTCATGCAAACATAGCCAGCTGTCAATAATGAAAATAAATACTTATAAAAGTTTTCATAAAAGCTTTCTGACTGATATAACCTATTTGACAAATTAAACGAGCCCAGAAATGTGACAGATTCTCTGTTGGTACAAATGTTCTGTCAACACCATCAATCAAGCAGTGCCACTCTGCTCTGAGGCAAACCGCAGCAGCATCAAACTGAGACGGGTACAGAGTGGAAAGCTCACTTTAAAACACTCACGGTCTACTGTTGTAAATCACATGCACACGAAAGACCTTGGAAGACTTTTAAAAAAGAATGTATGACTTATAACAAATAAACAAATAAATAATTGTGGCATTTTCACTATGCACAAGGGATTGTGTTGGGAAATTCAGTGGTTATTCTAAACATATTGTATCATATTATTACAGAGAGGAAATTATCTTTATTTTGGTTGAGAATAAATGTACTGCCATGCTGCAATTATTGCCATTGTGTGACTTCTGTGTCTGACACTTGTGCTATATACAGTACAGAGAACAGACATGAAATCAATATAAAAATAGGGCATTTCACTAAAATAAAACTTCATGTCTATGTATGAGGGTTTATGTAACAGTTTCCTCTCATTTGCGTTGAACATGACACAACTTTGCACATTGATTTATCACTCTCTCTGTCACACTGATAAAACACTGCCAGAATAAGTTTGAAAGAAAGAATTCCATACACAGCTCAGAGGAGTTTCTGAAAGTAGTGTTTAAATCATTATGTAAGGCTGACAAATATGGTCTCTTTTTGGCATCAGTTATTACCATTGTTGAGGAGTAACTAGTTACATATAAACTAGTTAATGAAGAAAAAAAGTATTACAGTTACAAATCAAAATGTTGATTATAAAGGGTTCCATCTGAACATATTCTTTTCAGTAAAAAGCTTAGAAC